GAAAGAAAGAAAGAAAGAAAGAAAGAAAGAAAGAAAGAAAGAAAGAAAGAAAGAAAGAAAGCACATGGCCAGCAAGCCACTCCCACCAGGTCACATGTTTGGCAAGCCACTCCCACAAAGGAGGTCACACCAACAGAGTAGGTTCGAAAAATTTTTGAAACCCACCACTAGGGTACAAATATACTTAGCCTCCATTTTGCATGTATATATATATCTATGTGTTGCACTAATTTTACTCTGTATAATACATCTTTATATTCTTTCTCTCCCAAAGTTTTGTATGAAGAATGATCAACTGTGTTTGCAAATATTTTGCAAATTTGGAGACATGGAGAGTGGAAAGGAATCGACTGTTCACGTTCATCTTGAGGCAACACCTTCACTATTAAGCATAGTAAATATTTTAATATTTGTGCTATCATACTGAAGGCTGTGTAATCGTATTCTTAAGTGTCAGAGAACCACAGACAAAAAATCATATTTCAATACCAGATTATGTAGTTGCTTAATATTGTTCCTCTGAATACCCTCAGTTGAAAAGCATTTAATTTTGAGTCGGCTTGGTCCTATGAAAACTCTCCATCTTACCTCCTTAGCCTCACTTATTATTTCTTATTATTTATTATTTGAACTCTTAAAGAGAGATGATTTAAAATAGTGGTTTATTTTTTTTACTTCTTAACAATAGGAAGAAGCTTCAGTGCTTACCTTTGAGATAAAAGGAGAAGTTTCAGCAGATCAAAATCCCAGAGTTATTGAACTCCACAAAAAAAAGCAAACCACTCATGTAAGTATCAGACAGTGAAGGAGAGAAGACATTGGACAATTTGAATATTAATTCAGATCTGCTTGGATTTATTTTCTAATCCAGAGCAGGCATGGTTTATCATTCATTTGGTATTAGTTCTTGCATTATTTCAGCATCCAATGCCTATTCTGCTACATCTAAACCAAGGACTGTTGTGAAGAAACACATTATGTTGTTTGCATCTATTTGCAAGAAAGCCTAATTTGCAGTGTCTTTATTGCATGATTATTTCATCAAAAATCGTGCTGTAATCAGAATTAAAGCATACATCTGAAATCAGTGGCATTTGACTTCCATGAAATCTCTTTTTATATATCTACCTTGACGGTAAACAAGTCACAGCTCGAATCCAAATTGTACTTCTGTGAGAAGTGAAACAAAGGCCTCCTAAAGAGTATTTGGAATACGTGTTTGTACCTGCAATAACTGTGTGTGTTATTTTCTACAGGTCATTTTGGAGGGACGTCATAACCAGAAGACAAAACAGAGTGTCAGTGCCCTGCTTATTGTAATAGGTTCCCTATTTGGACTTTTTTTGCTTTTGCTTCTTGTATTATTTTTATGGAAGGTACGTATTTCAATATTAATCTACACATCGGTGCTTTTTAATGGGTTGGCTAGATACCCATCCCAAAGGAAAAATATAGCTTTTCTAAACACTAAAAGAAATCTGCAGTGTTCTCTAGAACACACAGCTTTTGCTATGATTTTTATTTGGCATTCGGGAATAAATGTGGTTTTTATGTAGCCTGTTACATTTTAATGTGATTTGGGGAAATTGACAGCATAAAATGAGCGGAGGATTCCAATAGCCATTTGGACAGATGACAAGGGGAAGGAGAAATGAGGCTTTGGAATTTATAGGGGAAAGTGGTAATCAGATGTAACTCGAGAGATTTTAGGTTGCCTGACTTCCCAAATAAAGAGCTCTTGCTTCGTTTTAAACACTTTACAATTTGGGAAATGATACAGATTTAAACATTACAGGAAGAATGCTTTTTACTTGGTTCATGGGATCCTCCTGCTGGATGAAATGTGTCTGGGTTTCTTTTTAGTATAAAAAATAAGTTTTTATTCAGGATATTTAAACTTTGGGATGTATTTTGAGTATAGTTGAATCTTTGTATATTAAAGCAATGGGCAATCTTTTTCTAAAATATAAATATGCATACATATTATTGCTTTGAAATTGCAAACCTTGTAACTATTTTTGGAACTCTGTATTCCAGATGGGATTCTTCAAAAGAAAATACAAACGTTTTCCTGAGGAAAAAAATGGAAGTGAAAGTTTGGAGTTTTTTAAACATATTCACAATGATACCTCAGAGTAGGAAGTTTGGTAGAAGTTAAGAACTATCTGCTACAAGAACTGTTAAGTCTTAAGCCCCCATATCATATGTGAAAGAAATAGCCATCAAAGTGGGCTTCCAAAAGCACAAATCATAGAAAACTCTGAAGGATATACATTTTCAAGAGTTCTAATCAAAAGGAAAGAAAAACTCAAAATGCAAGAACAAGGAAACACTAGGAATTGCTCCTTCCTTTTTAAAAAGTACTTGAGAAGGAGTTAATCATACTTGAATTGCGAGTGTATAACTTCGCTTCCCAAGGCATTCCAGTGTTCAGGAGGATGCTAAACTAGGCCAATTTTAGCCTCCACACCATGGAGATCCATGTTCCCCCCTTCTAGTTCCTAAAATGAAACCTGTGACATTGGGTTTTTTTTAGATTTGCCAATTTAGTGAATGCTGAATTTTTTTTATTCTACTTGCTCCACCTTGCTCTGGAAATACTGGGAATATCCAGATAAGAAGAACAATTCAAAACGCACTGATGATGTCTCCTCGGATTGTGATGAAACGTTTGCAACCAAATCGCCAAGCTCGGAGCTCAAACCAACAGCCTAATTACCAACCAGAGCTACTAATACTCAAACACATTTCAAGAAGAACTATGCTTGTATGTAGGATCTCTCCAATGAAAGGAGAGGCAATTTTTTTGTAAAAGGGGAGCAACATGCAATCTTGGATGTCCCCTCCATTGTATCTCTTCAGACATACCATGCAACTAACCCGGAATATTGGCACTCTATTAGTAGGGACCCTACTAAGAGAAAAGGCATCCTTGGCAGAGAATGAGGGGTCAAGCCATGGAGAGGAAGAAACTAACTTGGTTTTGATCCAGTGGTGGGTTCCAGATCCTGTTGCAACCGGTATGGTTGTAACGGGACCTGGCGTCCGCTACATGAATGCGCGCATGCATCCTTACCTCTTGCAATGCCTCCGCGATGCTCCAGCTGCTTGGAGCATCGCGTAGGCTCCGTGCGTAGAAGCGCTGAAGAGCTCAAATACAGGTAAGGAGCTCGGGTGGGAGGGTGGGCCCCCCAGAGCACCGTACTGGAACGGTACCCAGTGCTCCGGGCAGGCACCGGTGCACCCGTACCGGGGCGTACCACCTGCAACCCACCACTGTTTTGAGCTCTTCCTAGGTACAGTACCTTGAACTGAAAAACCAAATGGTAGCATAGAGCTTTGGGCTCAAGGCCTGTGTGATATTTTCGTTGTTGTGTGACTCTCAACCATGTTTTAAGGGGTTCTACCTGGCTGGATGGGAGAAGTCCTCCCATTGTGTAAAATCAGGGAAATGGCAGTTACCATTTCTTATGCAATCATTTTATTTATTTTTGTATTTTGAAGAAGAAATACAAATCTTTTCCTAATATCTAATGTCTAATCTTTAGACAAATGTATTTTCTTGCACACAATATACAGGTTCAGAATGTTTTGCATAAGACTTAAGAAGATGGTAAAGTACTGCACTTTAACCCTAAGGTGATTATTATTTGAACAAAACAGTCTATGGCATCAGTTGTACCTCAAATGCTCGAAAGCATTAAAGCATTAAAGACTCTGATTTTTTTTTTTAAAAAAACCAATCTGTTCTATCACTGTATAACCCTACACTGTAAAAAGGAATGATCACCAACATTGAACTAATAACATATTAAATAAAATGGATCATGAAGCTATCATATAATTGTAGATATTTGAATTCATCCCTAAATGTACAATTTTTGTGACATGGGTATTTTTAAAGTGAATATTTACAAACATCAAACTTATTAATAATTAGATTTTCCCTATATAATTTACTTATGAAGGCGGGTATTTATAATGTTGTGTCATTTATCTCTTTGGAAAGCCTAAGAAAACTTATTTTAAAATGAACGGTTTATTTTCGGACAATCTCTCCCATACCCTCCATGTTAACAATGTAAATGTATTACTGTAATTTGCTTACTAATCTTTTGTACAGAGGCTGCAAACATCTGTATTAGACATAAATGTTTGTATGGTATTTTCCCATCTTAAAAAGGTATCATGTCCTGCTGAAACTACTGCATTGTGCTCAAAGCCTCCTTGAGAAGCATTTGGAAGCTTCAGCTGGTACAGAATGCAGAAACACAGGTTGTAAATGATGTTGGCTATTTGGCACATGTGACACCATTGCTTCAGGGACTGCTAGTGTGCTTCTGTGTGGAATTCAAGGTGCTGGTTATCACCTTTAAAGCCCTTATGAGATTTAACTGAAGGACTGTCTTCTCCCATTGTTTCTGCCCAACCAATCTGATGCAGCAGGATAGACATGCTCCCTTCAGCCAAGGAATGTCACCATGAGATGTGCCTTTTCTGCCATAGCTCCCTCCTGAGATTAGGAAGGCCTTGAAGACATGGCAATGTGCCTGGATTCAGATCCCAAGTGTGTAGCAATGCTGACACTGACAGATTATATCATCTCTTGGTTTCTATTTGTATTTCGTTTATTTTGGTATCTTGCTTTAATCATTGCTTGCCATGCAGAGACACTGGTTTGAGATAAGCAGCTGTACAAATTGAATAAATAATTCAATTTTCAATTCAGAATAGAGCTGGAAAGGATATTTGAGGTCTTCTAGTCCAATCCTCTGCTCAAGCAGGAGACCCTATGGCATTCCAGACAAGTGGCTATCCTGTCTCTTTAAAAGCCCCAGTGATGAAGCACCCACAACTTCTGATGGCAAGTTGTTCAACTGGTTAATTGCTCTCGCTGTTAGGAAGTTTCTGTTTTAGGTTGCTTCTCTCCATTGTAGTTTCCTCCATTGTTTCTTGTCCTGCCCGCTGGTGGTTTTGAAAATAAGTCGACCCATTATTCTTTGTGGCAGCTCCTCAAGTACTGGAATATTACTATCATGTCCCCCCACTTAGTCCTTCTTTTCTCTAGATTATCCATACCCAAATCCTGCAAACATTCTTCATATCAGTGACGTGTGGTGAGCTTCATGGCCGGTGAGGCAAGCGCCAAAGCCCCGCCAAAGCCCCGGCGGCGGCAGGGCTTTAAAGTGGCAGCAGGGCCCCGGTGGCAGGGCTTTAGAGCGGGACTTTAAAGTGGCGCCTCCGCTATAGAGCGGGACTTTAAAGCCCTGCTGCCAGGGCCCTGCCACCACTTTAAAGCCCTGCTGCCCGGGACAAGGCAAGGAAGACTTCCTCGGTCGGGCCCAAGAGGGATGTCGGGAAGAGCTACATGTGGCGGGCGGCCTCGGGGATGCTTCCGCTCAGGGCAGGGGCCCCCTCTAGCCTGCCCCAAAACTCCTGGAGCAAAGCAGAAGCCGGCCCACCTGGTTGAGTTCCCAGGGAGCCGCCTTGGGCGCTGCGAGTCACCCTGCAGCTGTCCGGCAACAGGACCAGGCGAGTGACGGGCCCCACATCCAACGTGAAGCAGTGCAGCACTTCCTCAGTGAAGAGGTCCCACCAGCCGACGCAGGAGTCCCGGCTCCCAGAGAGCAGCCAGCAAGGCGCTGGCCGGCCGGGCAGTACCAGCAGAGCCATTACGCCGCTGGTGCAGTGCCGCGGCGGTGTCTGCAAGAAAGTCGCAGCTGCGTCTGCAGTGCTGTGACGGACCCAGGTGTGGACTTACTAAGGCTGTATAAAATGATAGTAATACTTAATGTGATTTTGATTCTATGCCTCTGTTTATACAACCAAGGATTGCATTAGTTTTGATTATTGCCAAAAAAACCTGACTCCTATTTCAGTGATCATCCACTAGGATTCCAAGGTCTCTCTCACAGTTATTGTTTTTGAGCCAAGTACAGCTAATCTGTACTTGTACCTTTGGTTTTTCCAGCCTGAATGCAAAACCTTGCTTTTCTCCACATTAGTTTTCATTTTATTCGATAGAGCCTATTGTTCAAGTCTCTCAAGATGCTTTTGGAACCTGTGCTTGTCTTCCAGGGTGTTGGCTATCCCTGCCAGCTTTGTGTGATCTGATAATTTGATGAGTTCCTTTCTGCTAACATTTATGTCATTTTATAAATACTAGGGCCTTGATAAATCTGTGAAAGTCTTCCCAGTGAATGGAACCATACATGAAAATCCTTTCTTGAAATTATTAAAGCAGGCAGGTCTTTCAGAAGCTGATCCCATCTTTGCATTTGCATGAAATGGATGTTTATGCACAGAGACAACTGGGAGCAGCTGGATGAAAAAGGCAGCTGAGTTAATCATTAAAAAGGAGTGCATTGAATGCAGTCCCATTTATTACAGAACCCCTCTTTCAAAGAATCAGCACATCCCCAGTGATGTTAATAATTGTGCTAGTCAGACAGCCAGTTTGGTGGTGTGGTAAGGCACCGGGGTAAAAACTGAAAGACCGCAGGTCTTAGCCCTGCCTTTGGGCACAAAGCCAGCTGAGTGACCTTGGGACAGTCACTTTCAACCCTAGGAAGGAGGCAATGAGAACCTTCTGAAAAAACCTGCCAAGAAAACTGTCCAGAAAATCCAAAAACTGGACACAATTGGAACAGAAAAAGAAAAATTCTAGCCATATAGCAAGCAGGGAATAGACTTTGTAGCCCAGAGTAATGCAGAGATAGTTGTAATAACAATCAAGATATATACTCTAAGAGTGAAAGAAATTGCAATGAAGACATCTTATTATGTTTCCAAGATACAGTCATCTTGGAAATAGGTGTCCTTTTTACAAAATGAAACAATGCAAAGAATTTGCTGCTTTTGCTGGATTTTTTTTACGAATGAATTATATAAGGAACAGGTTTAATATAAGGCCACAATGTACAAATACACTGATTCCTATTTCAAAAACCAGCCAAAATCTGCCTAATGATTGCCAGTAAAACTGTATTGGCATGTCTAGTTGATGTGCCAACTTCAACTTTTATTTACTCACATAAAATTATAATTCAATTCATAGCTAAGTATTTTAGTT